AAAAATCAAATATTTGATTTTGAAAGTATATCTACATATTTTGATAAAAATCCCCAAATAAACAAATATAATTTTTTTATGAGTGCAAATGGCCTCAATTCTGTCAATACAAAACATCAATATACGAGAAGATTAAATTGAGGAAGATGTTGAAATTGTCAAGAAACTTTTACTCATGAATGTTGTACAGCATGTAAAAAAATCGATTGTGATTGTGTATTTATATGTGGATATACGTATCCAATACAAAAAAACAAGTATGGTAAATGTACACAGTTTGCAAAATATAAATATTTCACTAATGATCAGAACAAAATAGTTCACGATTGTAAGAGAAAGATTTGTGAAGATGAAAATATTTTTCTGTATATAGATGAACAACAAACATGACCATTTAATTATAATTTTATTAATCGATATTATTATTGAATATAATATTTATTAATTAATAAATTATAACTTAACCAGTTTTGTACCGGTTAAGAATTTATTTGTATAAAAAAAAATGTATCATAATTATTGTACAGATTTTTTTCAGTTACAGAATGATTATTTTTATTCTAATGAACTTGATTTTGCTAAAGCACAAAATTTTAAGAAAAAATATCATAATGTATTATCTTTAGAATATAGTTTTTTTAAATTGAAAACAATTAACACAGAAGAAAAAATATTATAAATTAATATTTATTGCAGCTTCTTTAAAAATGTTACATCATCCAACAAAGAGTAATTTACCAATTATTATGGAGGAAATTGAGTAATTTTACTATTAATAAAGTCTAATCAGTTATTAACTGATTAGAATTTTAAGTACATAATTATGGAAAAGATTAATATAGCAATTTCTGGTCCTTGTGCATTAGGAAAATCAAGTGTTGGTTATTTGTTAGCAACAAAATTAAATTATCAATTTATAGAAACCGATTTATTTTATCAATATCTAGCGTCAAAAACATCAAGTTTTGATGAAGAAGAATTGATAAATATTTTAAATAACGAAGAACCCAAATATTTATTTCAGGTTGACAACACAACACTTTTTTATAAGAGAGATAATAATGATATAAATAAACAAATATTTGAGATATCAAAAAATAATAATATTTGTAAAAAGATTAATGAAATTATTTGAAAAAATACGAAACAGAAAGGTTTTGTGGTGGTAGGTTGTGATTCAACAACTAATATTCTTCCTGATGTTGAAATTAAATTTTATTTAACAGCTAATTTTGAAACACGTGTTGATCATCAACAAAAACAATTTAATTTAAACAATGATATGTGGTTAGATATAATAACACGTGATTCTTCTTTGATTAAAAAAACGAAAAAAATATCTGATAATATTGATACAACATATCTTGAAATATCAGAAGTTGTTGATTTGATATTGAAAAATGTTTTTTACAAGTTATTCAGAATTCGATATGAAAAATATTTTAGGGTTTTAATTATTTTATTTGTTTTGTATTTTATTAGTTTTTTCAATAAAATTTTGTCTAGTTAGTCATTAAGATCAATTAGAATTTTTTTTACGTAAGCAAAAATGACTAAAAGAAAAAGAGAAAATATTGAAGCTGAAGACGATTCTCAAAAGAATATTTCTGAAGCTGAACTTAATTATTATCTTGATTTAAAAAATTATGAAGTTTCAAATGAAATTGATAATAACACATATAGCGTAGCATTTCCAGATAAACAAAAACGTTATAAATTTATAGAATTATATTTAATATATTTAAATACTCGTATTGCAGAATATAATAGAATTATTCAATTGTTGTCTAAAAATCGTAGTGATCCTAATTTTTTCAAGGCAAAAAATTTCAAAGAAACTTTAAAAAAGAACAAAAGTTTTGCTGAATTTTCGGTAAAACATTTAGAAACTAAGATAAAAGACCTTGAAGAAGAAATTAATAAAGTAAAATAATTTTGTTGTATTATTTAATAAATATATATTATCTGTTTAGTCTTTGACCAAACAGAATTTTATTTACGTAAAAAAATGCATTTGCGAAACAATTTGAAAGAAATTTCTAAATCAAAATTTATGGTTGAAAGTGATTATAACTTTAGAACAGTATATTACAACGGTATACTTGTTTGTAGGAGTGAATGAAATAGTAAAAATCCTGAACCAAAATATGTGTTTAAACGTAAATATATCAGAAAGAAAAAATATAAATCTTCGATTTGTTCAGATTCTATTTATCAGGGTGATTTAGATTCAGATTATTCAAATTCAACATATATAACTGATAATGATTTTGTAGTTAAAGATGATTTAAAAAAATATTGTATTATTTGCAACAAGTTTTATTTTACATATCATGATTGTTCACGTGATATTACATACGTATCTTCTCAAAATGAATTTGTTAAAGATAATAGAGAAGAAAGAAAAAAAGATTCTGATTATAAAGGAAAATATATAGTGAATCAAAATGGTGTTGTTAATAATAACGGTATTGAGTTTAGTAATATAGAATTACGAATGGATGATGAATCAGATGAAGATGAATTAATTTCTGAGGAAAAAGCATTAAATTTAGCATTAGAAAAAAATTATTCTTGTTATATTTAATCAGTCTTAAGACCGATTAAAATTTTAAATACGTAATTTAACAAATGGTATTTGAATACAAAGCAGCAAAAGATCAGTATAATAGTTTACTTGATTTTAATTCAAAATATTATACTTTTATTAATATTTTGAATCAAATTGAAAGTCAAGGATTTACTATTGATACTAAAACACCTATTAGTGAGATTAGACTTCAAATTAATATCAATAACAATTTGTTGTAACAGACTAAATCAACGATTGATAAATATGAAGATGAAAGAAGAGAATTTTCTTTGTGTCTTTTAGTTTCAGATTCTAAGAAAATCTGGTTGAGTCGTTGTAATAATCCTGACAAAGATTACTATGATTATTATCAGGCAACAGGTGGTACAAAAGAAAAAAATGAAACTTTTGAACAATGTGCTCATAGAGAAGCTAAGAAAGAAACAAATATTGAATTAAATGAACTTGAATTTATTGCTTTTCAAGAAGGATTTAGAGAATTTCCAGATAGGAAAACATGTTTGTATAAGATAGGGATTTATTATTCTATTATTGGTGATAAGAATCCCCAACAAACAGAATCAGAAAAAAATGATGAATGGCAACAATTTGAATTAAAAGATTTACAAAATCTTAAAGTAACTGATTCTATTAAAACAAATTACGGACAAATTTCTGATATTATTAACAAAAAATTTAAAAACAAAAAGAGACATAGAATTGAGGTTGAAAGTCCAAAAATTGAAGATATAAAAAGTCCAAGTGAAAATTTAAAGAACCAATAGTTTATTTTTTTTTATTTCTTTTTATTTTTATTGATTTTGTAATTTATTAAATAAATTAATCTAACTAGTTTTTGACCAGTTAGATTTTTAATTATACAATTTCGAAACTGAAGAATATAATGAATACAAGAAAGTTGAATATTAATGAATTACCAAATGAAATTCTAATTTTAACACTATACCATATCTTTCAAAGAAAAATAATACTATCTGATTTATTAATAACTATATCGATCAAATTAGTTTGTAAAAAATGGTACGTTTGTTATTTTTCATTGTTCAAAATTCATAGAACCAAATATATTTTACTACATGATATACGTTCTGTTGAAGATTATACTCCTGTTGAAAAAACTAAATATTATTTTTATTATGACGAAAAGATTTTTTTAAAATATAACGAAAAGAGATATGAAATTACTTCTGCTCATTTTAATTCATTAAGTTTTTTGAATTTTTTATTTCAAACTTTCGAATATTATCAATGTTCAAAAGAGAATGTGAATGATGTTTAAAAAAAACAATTCTTCATACGTGGGGTTTATGGTTTCTAGATGAATTTTATAATTATAAAGTATCAAAATGCAAAACCGAAAATCAAAAATTTCATTGTCACAAGATTTGTAAGAAATGTTATGAAATTTATTCTTTAAGTTTTGATGATGTGGTGTTTTTTATTAATTAAAGTTTAAGTCTAATCAGTTATTTAACCGATTAGAATTTTATTGATGTAATCTGAAAAGATTTATACTTAATTTAAATGGAAGACAATTTTTTTCTTGATAATTCTGTATAAGAATGTTTTCTTCAAAAACTAACTGAAGAGACTGATGATTTTGAATATTTTGTTCAAAAAATAGCTGGAGTATATGGTGTATCAGCTAATAAAGTTAAAGTATATCAAGGCAATAATAATCGTACTGATATTATTGTGAAACATATCGATTCAAAACAGGAAAAATATTTTATTTGTTTTAATTATGATAATGTAGAAATAAGTGTTAAATTTGGATTCCTTCTTAGAAAAGCTTTTCATTGTTATTGTTAAAAGAAAATTAAATTTTTTAATAGTATTTTTATTTTGTTTTATTCTAGCTAGTCTATTTGACCAGTTAGATTTTTAATTATATAATTTTGAAATGACTGATAAAAAGGTGAGTTATATTCACTTAATAATCATATTTGTGCATACTGCTCTTCAGGTACTAGGAATTTATTCTGGGAAGAGAATTTTTTTTAAATTTTCTTGAGGATAAATTTCATTTTTGCTAGAAACATGAATGTGTAGACGCCGCAACCCATGGAGTGAAAAATATGTTTTATTAATTTTTTATTTTATTTTAGATATCAAACTGGGCAAAAGGTTATACTTTGTAAATTATTTAACCAGAATGGGATAATTGCCTATATAATTCAAGTTACTGAAAGAAATGGTGGATTAGATTTATTACTATCATATCAGGGTAATCAAATATGTGTACAGTATAAAGATAGAGAAAATGCTCTTACATTATCTATATTGAAAGAATTTGAATTCACAATGACACATTTTAAAAATTCATTGGGGATTTTGGTTTATAATAGTAAGACCATGAAAACTAAAAAATATTTGACAAAACAAGCTAAACTTTGGTTGGATAATTCATCACAACAAATAATTGTATGTGATGAAGAACAAGTTGTTAACAGAATCAAAAACTTTTTTGAAAATAATGAAGAATCAGAATTAATTTTAACTGATTTTCAAGCAGAGAAATTTTTTTTGAATGGAATTGATTCTGATAATGTACATATTAAAAAAATTATATTAAAAAGAAGTGTCCAATATTCTCCTTATAAAAAAATTATTCAGTAAAAACTGAATAAAAATTTAATTATATAAAATGGAGTTAATTTTTCAAATCGTAGAATTTATTTTTATTATTTTTTATAGTTGTATTTATCATTTCTATAACTTTTTAAAACCAAAAGAAAAAAACATTATTGTTTTTACTGGTGCTATCGGATCTGGTAAATCAACTGTAGCAAGGTTATTTAAAAGATATTTACAAAAAAGAAGATATGTTATTTATCTTCCTAAAGAAATGTCACTCCAATTGAAAGATGAATTAGAAATATTTTATCAAGATACTGTTAATAATGCTCTTTTTTTTCAAAAAATCATTCTCGATATGTATCAAAAACAAAGTAAGAATCTGAATAGGATTTTACGATTATACGATTTTGTTCTCTTAGAACGAATATCTAAAGACACACAAGTTTTTACCAACATCAATATATCTCAGAGTTATATTAAAGAATATTTGAGCAAACAACGAGAAAAAATTATTTTAGATAATATTCACAAAACAGTTTATATTTGACCACCAAAAGAAATAATGATTCAAAGAAAGAAAAAAAGAGGCCGTCCTTGTGAAAAAAATGTTGATGAAGAGTACTTAATTAGTATTTATGATGAATATGAAAGAAACATTGATAAGATGTATTCTGATTATATTATTTTTGATAATGAGGATTTTCTTTGCAAAAATTGGCATAAATTGAGAGAATCTGTTGAGGAAAATTCTTGTAATTTATCTAAATACATATCTTTATTTGAACTCATTCGTTTATAATTTATTCAGTTTATACTGAATAAAATTTTAATTACGTGAAAAAAAATAGATTATTTTTACATATACGATGCTACTGATGAATACGTGTTTTACAATAAACATTATCAACTTCGTTTGTATACAGTTCGTTCGGATGGACAAAAATTTACAATAAACATAAAAATCGAGGAAGTATTTTTTGATATCAAATTAGATTCGTGTAGTATAATAAAACCACAAATAGAAAGTTTTGTTGAAGAATTTAATCCTTCTAGTTATGAAATGATACATAAACAACCTTTTGATTCTACGGAAAAACATGATTTTA